TGTTATAGGTGAACATCGTTGGAATTACCACCACCAACTATCAGAGATTTTTATTGCCAAAAATAAATCGAGTATTTGATAAATTTGATTTTATAGAGTACAATCCCATTCAAAATCCCCCCTCACTTTAATATCATATCATTTTTTTCATTTCCAATTACCCCACACCTTTCTTCATACTTCATTTTATTCATAGAAACTAATTATTTTATAATATTTTTTAATATATCTTTTTTTCTAGGTATTAGAAGCTTAATTTTCATTTTATTTTGTTTCAGAATATGATTAATTCTAATGCACTTGTAAGTGCATCGGATTTTTCATCAGTAACTTTCCCTTCGATGCATTCATTGCATCTTTTCAGACCTCCAAATTAATCTTTTCTTTTTCTTTTCCAGGCTCGTTTTGAGTTCCTTTTTTCAGTGGGTAGCGGGTAGATCTTTCTTTGGTTTCTTCCCAAAGAAAGGGTCTATTTCAGGAATGCGACCCTGCCCTACGCAAGCCATGATTTTCTCCTACCTCCAATAACTGGGAGAAATCATGTCCTTTACCTTGAATTTCACCTCACCAATCATCACTTCTTCCTTACTTCTTTATTTTTCTTTTTGTTTTAGGTTTCTTCTTATTCTAGGTTTCTCATAATAATGGAGTATCCAAAAGGAGAGGAATATGGACCAGAAAAGGACTGAGTTATGGTAAACGGGTTGTATTTTAATTTATTTATTACTTTTTTTATTCACAGGATGAATTAAAAAGACAATGTGATATTACATCCAAGAATAATAGAAAGCAGATAAGAAGAGGACTATAATTATGGTAAATGGTAATATAAAATAATTACTTACAAAAATAATTACAGTATTTTAATTCTTTTTATTTTATTCTTTCTAGTATCATCGTATATGTATGATAGTTATTTTTAATGTATCTTCTTTTATTTTCTATAGGTATTATCTAATATCTTCTTCTTATCTACAGGTACCATCTAATATCTTTTCTTTTTTACAGATACCATCTAATATTATATATATTTATTTTGATTATAATATATTTTTTATAGATTAAAAATTATTAAATATAAAATATGTATGTATATATATTGAAATTATTCTATAGTGTATTACTTTTAGGTAACATCGATGTTTCTATTGAATTTCTTTTTAGGTTACACTCCTTGTTTATCATGTTTGTATTTTTTCATATTAAAAAAATAATAAAAATAATTCTAAAGATTTTTTTATGGTGGTACTCTTATGGAGGGGCCTAAGAGTTAGGTTCATTCCTTTGAATTGTATTCGGATGTGAGCATCTTCAGGATGCACATCCCTCTTGGGTCTTCAGAAGCGGTTACCTCCACGTGGTTAGACCCGGGCAATGGTATTTTACTTTCAATGTAATATGTAACATATTTTAATATGTTTCACATTCCATTGTAAGTGAAATCCAGCCAAAGACCGCTTAAACCATAAACATTATAATTGTAATTAGTTTCTTTTAATTTTCCAATGAACATATTTTTATTCCTTTCCTTGGCTCCTTCTATCCATTTCATCTCCAGAAACTAATCACCTTATAATGTTTTTTAAGAACTTTTATATTGTTACAGGCATTACACCGAACAAACAAGAAATCTTTTAATGTAATATCTATTTTATTTTATTTCAGGATAAAATTATTTTTATTATAATGCTCCAATTACTTAAATAGCAAATGAACTTGTATTAATATTCATTAAAATTTCTGTTTCAGAAGCGGTTTAATGGGTAGCGGGTAAATTTTTTGTTCGTAAAGGGTGGTACCATTTACAAATAA